GGTGGGGTTAGAAGAAGGAAGATTTTGGGCCCCTGGAATGGCCTCCAGCTCAGAGCAGACACAGGGCAGGGCCAGAGCCCCTGTTGGGTCAGGTCTTGGAACATATATACTCCTCCTGCCGCAGAACTACAAGCCCTCCACCTCCAGGAAGCCCTGCCTGCCTGCTCCAGCCTCCTTCTCCTTTCTTCCCTAGGTAGGAACTCAACTCAAGGCCTCCCGCCGAAAGGCATGCTGGGCCGCAGAGCCACCAAGACCGATGAAGTCGGCCCTCAGAGGGCTGCAACAAAACTGGATGGTAGTCCTGACCACCAAGCCAGGAAGAGAGGACACAGGAAACGCACACACACATCGACACACTTCTCCACTGGAGGAAGGAGGGAAAAAAAATCTAGCAAAAGTGCCCCAAAGAGCGCCCCTTAGCTGGGCTGCAAGCAAGGACTAGACCTTGAGCAGGCCGATGTCAGAAGAGACCCGGTGAGGGGGCTGGGTGGCTTGAGGTCAACAGCCCAGCCCAGCAGGAGAGAAGAAAGGAGAGGCCCCTGTGGCTCTCCCTGGGGTCTAGGGACAGCAGACAGCCATCAGGGACAGGACTAGAGAAACAAACCCCAGGTCTCAATCCGTAACCTCCCCTAACCGGCGGATTGAGCACGGGCCCATCCCTCAGCCTTTCTGTGCCTCAGTTTCCCTGGAGGATAAGGATACCAGACTCAGGCAGAGGGTTGTTGAGAGAGTCAAACATAGGAAGCCCTGGGAGCTGGGCAGAGTCTCCCTCTCCATTTCAGTTGGGAGGCTCTGGAAGCATCTGTCACAGAGGTGTAGCGTGCAGGCCCACTCATAGGCAGGAGCTCATCACATACCACCCTGGCCTGAGCCTGGACTGGAGAGGCGTATGAGAAGTTCCTGAGGGTAAGGGCTGGATATGGGGGCTTGCCTGGTATGTGGGAGTCTCTCAGCCCTGGGTTCCATTCCCCATGCCCTGGCATTACAAAAGCAAGCAGAGCCCGAATTCCTGGAGGTGGGGTCTACAGGCAGGTGCCTGTGCCATGGGAATGAAGAGCAAGCACCCCACCATGCCCCTCGGCGTTAGCCCAAAACCCCATTATTTTCGCTAGTGAATGCTTACTGCTATTACTAAGTAGATGTGTGTGTGTGTGTGTGTATGTGTGTGTGTGTTATTCTTTCTCTCCTTTACATACACATACTTTAAAGATACAGCCAGTAAAAGTATGAAATTGTCAACATTATACAGGTAAAACCAAGTCCCAACATCCCCAGACTAATCTGCCCAGGGCCACATGGGTACGAATGGTGGACCCTTCCTAACTCCACATCATTTTCCACAATATCCAGAGGAAGACATAGCCTTGCCAAGATGGAGTGACCTAGAAGGCATTCAAGGGTACATACTCACCCCCAGGCACCCGCCCCCGTACAAGCTGAGGCTGGTTGGATGTCAGGGTCACTCTTGACTTCTAACCCTAACCTTGACCCTCTGCCTTCCCAATGCACAGCCCTCTCTTGTCACACGCTCAAACTCTGTGGACATCTTAGCGTAACCTACAAGTTCGGCCACTGGCTCTCTGGCTCAGAGTCCAAGTGCCATCCGTTCTTCTTAGAGATTTTGGATCTGACAGGGGGTCCCTCCCAGTCTTGGAGCTCCAGGGACCCCTTGAAGAAAACCCAAGTCTGCCAAGGGAATTACAAAAATAAAGTATGCCTGCCTCTCCTTCCCAGAAATTCATTCAAAATGAACCAGAATCTGACATTTTGAATCTGAGTCAACATTAGTTTTAATTCCACACAGCTGATGTGGTGGTGCACACCTATAATCCTAGCTCCTTGGGAGGCTGAGGCCGGGGAATAGAGAATTCAGAGCCAACTGGGGCTGCATAGTGAGACTTCTGTACATGATTCCAGGCGTGAGACCAGCCCCAAGCAAATGCCAGGAAACAAACCTGTCAGGAATGCAGAACCTCAGGCCCCTCACGACTGAAAAGCATCGAGCTAGCCCCCCCAGGACCCAGGGCAGCAGAAACACAGACCTGGACACAAATGAGAGGGATCAGGGATTCCAGGTGTGGCCTATACCTCTGTGATCAGAAGTGGTAAATGCCTTCCCTGTGTCCCCTCATCTTATCCCTGGTCACCATACAGGAAAACTGAACCTGAGACAAAGGCTCAAACTTTCTGGAGCCATCCTAATGCCTCAAGGCTCCTGGTTCTGCCAAACAACAGGCCTCCACCCTCTGTATATCCTCCAAGGCAGGGACGGATGGCATTCCTCTGCCATGTGACAGATGAGGGGCCTGGGCTCGGGGTTGGGGATCATGGGTGAAGCCTGCTGCTGGGCAGGGCAGCGCCCCAAAGAAGAAGTGTTAAAGGTTACTGTTGACCTGAAGTGATTCGGCCGGGCAGCAGGCTTCCAGTCTGACTGAAAGATTTCAGGTCCCTCCCAAGGGCTATCTTTTGGGGGAACTTGGGACCATTGCAAAGGAACATGAACTGGACCCAGGAAGCTCCTGATTGGCAGGAAGCCTGGATTCCACCACACTCAGGCCTTGGCCCTCTGCTGGGGAGCAATACACCAGCACCACCCCTTACCCATGGTGGGGAGGAGCCCTCTTCTCAGGGCAGCTTTGATAGGGTGTCGGGCATGGGGTCACAAGCATCCCTGGGATAGGGTCGGGAAGGGAGAGAAAACAGCCCCTCCCCTCTAGCTACCAGCTGGGAAAGAAGCAGATGGTAGCCCTGGCCCTCCTGGCCACCCTGACATCTCCAAGGCCTGATGTCTTCAGCAGGGACCCTCCCTCCCCCACTTTCCTAATTCCCTCGCTCTGTAGAGAAAATGGGGCCTTTACCTGCTGGAGAAAACTGGGTCCCTAAGGCCTAAACTGAGGCAGAAGGCACTCTGATTGCCAGCCTGTTGCTCACAGATGTTCACAGGGGGAATCCCTCCTCCCCCCCCCCCCCCAGAGGCCTGGCTACCTCAGCAGCATCTCTCAGCAGGTCGGGAGGCAGGGTCCAACCAAGCCAAGCACTCAGGAGAACCTGTGTGCAGGGACGAGGAAGAGACAGAGAGGGAGCACAAACCAGGTGTAGCCAGCTGTACAGCCCCCCCCACACACACACACCCCTTCCTGGCGGCTGAGCCCAAGAGGGTGGTGGCAGGAACTACAGAGGGCAGCGGCTGTGAGACCACCCCCCTACACACCCGGCTTCCTATGATCCTGGGCTCACGCCCCCCACAGTACTCCTCCATGCCCCAGGGGTCTCAGGCTCAGCCACAGACAGAGAGACCTTTCCCTCCAAGAGGAGGGACCAAAGGGTGGAGGGATGAACAGGGACCCACCGGGAGAGAGATGCCAGGCAGGCGGGCGGGCGGGCAGCGGGCGGACGGTGGAGACCGCTGCAGGGGAGCCGGGACACGACTGGCTGGATGCTCTGTAGCTCAGTCCCTCTGTCCATCCAAGGCGGCTTCTCTCCGGGCGGTTCTGAGGCCGGGCGGGCGCTGTTAAAAAGCTTTTTATGTGTGTGTGTGTTAATCACATGATTGCCGTTCACCTGTATTTCGAACAAAGACAGCTCACTGTTTCAAGGCCCCGAACAAGAGTCTGGGCACAGGGAAGAGAAGGGAGGCGGGGGGAGGAGGGTTGGCAGCGCCGGGGGTGGCGTCGAGGAAAACTGGGGGGAGATTGTCCAAGGCCAGCGAGCGAGAGAAAGAGAAAACCCTTATCAAACTCCTAATTCACTGGGCTCTGCAGCCCCAGACACACTGGCCCAATTGTCTGGCTGGTGGTGTGTGCGCAAGCATGTGTGAGTGTGTGTTACCAATGTCTGCCACCCCCTCGACATGCCTTTACCCTGTGTGACTATCCCATTGTGTCCCACTATCCACCCTGGGGCCTTCCCGATCCTGAGGCCTTGGTTCTCCAGACCCCAGTTCCAGCCCGACTCCAGACAGTACCTGTTCGGTGTGGGCCTAGGGCCTTGCCCAGTGAAGAGGGACAGAGGAGCCACACATGGTCAGTGGTGTGGCCCAGGCTCCTCTGCCCCTCTGTGGGCACCCCAGTTCTGCCTAGCCACTTCACCAGGAAGGGCTGCCTTCACTGGGAAGAGAAAAGGGACACCCGATGCCTGGGGAGGTGTGACCCAGGACAGGAGCAAGGGGACAGGGCCCTGGGGCGATGGACAGGAAGAACAAAGGGTAGGTGTGAGGGGCAGAGAAAAGGGGGTCAGAGCCAGGGCAGTCGGTTCCTTTCTCAGTGTGGGACACGGAGGGACTTCATGACAGCCAGGGCTGGGACTCTTTCGTCCTTTCCCTTTCCCAGGAGAGGAAGAGCCCGGCCTGGGAGTGAGACCCCGAATTCCTCCTTGTCCTTCTTGAAGATGACCCTCACCCACCCCACCTCAGCCTCCTGTGTCTCTACCCTGGACCAGTCCAGCCTTCTGGATGCTGGCATCGGGAGAGAAGGGATCGTGGATTGAAGCGGGTATGTGTCCTGGGCAAAGGTAGTTCAGCTGCTGCCCTCCCCGTCAGAGAGGGCAGGAGAGGCTGACAGAGTGCGGCCATGTGGCCGCGGTACCTGGCACACAGTGGGACTCAGGAGGATTTCTTCCATTAAGCAACACAGGCGGCCACCCTTTCAGGTTAGCGGCTTTCCTCGCTTTCCCCTCTAGTCCCTTTGTCAACAGCCCCTGCCGCTACCTGAGGCAGAGGTCTAGGGTCCCAGGCAACAGGTTCTGACTGCGCCACCTGCCTCTGTCCCTTCCCAGACGTAAAACGCCCCAACTCTCACACCAGCCGCCCCAACCCAAGCTTAGTCCAGGGAGACGGGCCTAGGCAGCAGTGCGGGCAGGGCTGGGGGGGGGGGGGCTGGGCAGAGTGGAGGCGTCCTGGGTGTTGGGGATGAAGACCGCGCCGGAGGCTCCACCTTCTGCCCTTCCCTCCCTCCTTTCCCCCCTCCCCTCCCCCTCCTTCCTTCCCCAGCCGTCTGCAGCGGCTCAGTCGCTCAGTCAGTCTCGGGCTGTCCAGCCAGGGTGTTTGGTGGTGAGGATTCAGGCTCCGTCCAGACGAGGCCGTGGCCTGAGGCTTAGGGCCCCCCAGCCCCTCCCTCCCAGTCCATCAGCGTCACCCCCCCAGCCCCGAGCTGGACCGCACACCTTGGGACACGGTTTTCCACTTCCTCAGGACGAGCCCCAGACTGGAGGAGAGGTCGGAGGAGGTGAGTGCGTACTGCTGCTCCCCTGTGTCCGGACTGCCAACAAGGGGCCTGGGTTCCCCCCAATTTGGGGTGGGAGAGGCTGACACCCCACAGGCAGGCAGGCACCCCCCCACCCATCTTCCCTAGACTGTCAGGGCAGACGAGGGGAAGGAGAGTTGTGAGAAAAGGTGGGAAATTCCAGGGGCCCGGATTAGAGTCGAATAAAGGGTCCGTTTTTCTTCCTTTCCATCAACAAACCTCCACCCAAGAGGAGGTTTAAGGAAAAAACCCACCCACACCTAGAGACGGTTGGGATCAGGGGGTGGGAAGACGTGGAGGCGGGACGCACCCACTGAGGGTCTGGCATGTGCTGGGGCCCAGGCCCAAGTGGGTTTAGTGCGCGCAAGGAGGGCCGCCACCTCGGGGCTACGTCCGCGTCCAGCCTGGGGTGGCGCACAGCGCCCCTCCATCGCGCCCTCCTTCTTGTCCAGGTGGGCGTTGGGCTCTTCGCGAGGACCCCGGCGGCGGGCCTGGGGGAGGCGGCCGAAGCGGCGGCGGCCGGGAGCGACATGGCCGAGGAACAGGACCTATCCGAGGTGGAGCTGAGCCCCGTGGGCTCGGAGGAGCCCCGCTGCCTGTCCCCTGGCAGCGCGCCGTCGCTGGGACCCGACGGCGGCGGCGGCGGCTCCGGCCTGCGAGCCAGCCCGGGGCCCGGCGAACTGGGCAAGGTCAAGAAGGAACAGCAGGACGGCGGCGAAACAGACGATGACAAGTTCCCCGTGTGCATCCGCGAGGCGGTCAGCCAGGTGCTCAGCGGCTACGACTGGACGCTGGTGCCCATGCCCGTGCGTGTCAACGGCGCCAGCAAGAGCAAGCCGCACGTCAAGCGGCCCATGAACGCCTTCATGGTGTGGGCACAGGCGGCGCGCAGGAAGCTGGCCGACCAATACCCGCACCTCCACAATGCGGAGCTCAGCAAGACGCTGGGCAAGCTTTGGAGGTGAGCCCCGCCCCGCCACAGCCCCGCAGGCCCTAGCCTCGCGGGCATTAGGGCTAGCCTGGGGGCCCCAGAGTAGGATCGCCCGGGGCCCCTCTCCTAGGGGTGGCCAGCCATCTCTTTAGAAGACCAACATTTGAGACCTTGCCCACCCATCTACCCAGAGTGCTCTCGTGGGGGGGCTCCTCTGGCGGCTCACCCTGGAACTCAGAACCCCAGCGGCCGAGGCTGGGCCTCCCCATCCTGGGAGGGAGGGCGGGGAGGCGCCCCCTCGTGGTTGGAATTCTGCGGGTGGTGGGCAGGGGAGACAGCATGGTGGGGCGCTCTGATGACCTCCACTCAGTCCCATAGTCACGCACTTAGGGTGCCGCTGCCACCCGTGTCAGGGGTCTGGAGAATGTGGGAGACTGGGAGAGAACGGGTCTAGCTGTAGATGCTGCGGAACTGAAAACAGCCAGCTGGAGAGCTTGAGGGGAGGAGGGATGGCGGGGAAAACAAGGACCGGAGAGAAAGCGGGGTACGGAGAACTTTGTTCCCTGCTACCACAGGGTCTCCTGTTCCAGCTGCCCTGGGAGACCTTCCCGACCCCAGGCTCTAGACCGAGGGCTTCTTTATTTCCCAGGAGAGGGCACACAAAAAGAGGCCGGAGCCACCGAGCGGCTCGCTCCTTTTCACTCTCTCTCCAGCTTTGGCGCCATCTTACCTCCCTGGGCTCCACCCAATGGTTGAGCAACCTCTTCTTCCCCAAGCTCAAGAAGTGGAGCGGAGCACCCTAGCCAGGAGGAAGCCTGCTTCCTGCCAGGGTCCCTCAGAGCCCCAGGCTGCCTAGGCTGCTGGCCTCAGACTCTGCGGCCACGTTTTCCCCAGGGTGCAGATTTGACCCCTGTGCTCACCTGGCCAGTTGCAGATGTGTGGCGCACCCTGACACACTGCGGGCACCCTAGGCCAGGCCCAAAAGGGAACAAGGGCTCCAGCAGATGCTACCCTGCTGGGGTCACCTGATCCCCACTAGCCGGTCCAAGAGACGGGCCCAAGAGAGACACACTACTTAGGTCAGTCGGCGGCGGCGGCAGAGTCCAGTCCCCAATCCTTGTCAGAGGTTAGCCCCACATTCTCCCTAGTAACAGTGGGGAGTCACACTTCACTCTCTGGAGTGGTGGGGGGGTGGGCGGAGAACAGGAGAACGGAGCACTGGAGGAGACTTGGGGTCTGTTAGAGGAGTCGGCTCCTTCCACTTTGCTGGTCTGGTATGAAGACCCAAGGCTTGAAGTAGTTAGGAGAAGGCGCCATCAGTTCCCTAAGAACAGAGTGCTCAGCTAGCAGCTTCCTGGCCTGCACTTGCCATGTGCTTGCTGAAGGCCTGGCACCCCCCCCCCCCCCCCCCCCCCCCCCCCCCCCCCCCCCCCCCCCCCCCCCCCCCCCACCCCGCCTCGTGGGCTCTCAGCTCAGACCAGGCAATAGCTGGATGGCCAGCTGCTATGAGCCCAGAGCCCAGCTCTGCTCAGGAAAAGCGGTGGCAGCTAGCTCCTTTGTCCAAGGTCGGTCTGGGCCTGTAACAGCAGTGAGAGGTGGCAGACCCCCACTCTCCCACCACCAAGAGTTTCTGGAGTCCCTCCGCGGCCCCTGTCCCAGTTCCCGCTCTAGAACCCTTGATTTAGTCCCCTTCGGGCAGACTCGTCTCTGGCTGCCACCTGGCACAGGGAAGGCAGGAGAGCCCAGAGGGCCGAGGACCCAGCCCCAGGGATGGTAAAACAATACCAAGGAGCCAAGACTGTGTCAACAGGTGGTAGCTACCAGGGCCCTGGATGGGGGTCCTCAGGGACACTGGAATGTGGGCTGGGCTGGCCAGTTGCTCCAAGGGTCCGAACACGCTTTTCCCAAGCTCGTGACTCCAAGAACATCAGGAGCGTGGACGGTTGGGCAGAAAGAACTGGAAAACAGCCTAAAACACAGACCGAGGAGAGCTGTGTCTAAATCTAGGATCAATGCGTTTGAACACGGGTCCTGGGTGGCCCTGTGAGCACCTGGCACACTGACCTCGGCTGCCATCTGGGGAGGAACCATTACATGCAGACGCATGGGATGCTGGGTGCTGTTTAACCTGTGTGGAAAGTACAGTCTGAGCCGGGAAACTGGGACTGGGTTGCGGCTAAGCTCCTCCTATAGAGGCTCATTGGCCTCTCCTGCCCCGGGACGCCCAGGCTCTTGCTCAGTTGTTGGCCTGACAGAGGACACATATCACAGCAGCCAGTGTCCTACCAGGAGCTGCCCACTGGGCTGGGAACCAGCCTCCCTTCTCCATCCACCGTTGCAAAGCAAGAGGCCGGTGGGAAGAAAAGGAGCGAGTGAGGACTGAGCTGGTGTGTGTGTGTGTGTGTGTGTGTGTGTGTGTGTGTGTGTGTGGCGGGGGACAGTGGAGGAGGACAGCCCTGAGCCTGAGGACTTGTGTAGAGAGTGAAGGCTGGCTGTGGGGGTGGGGTGGGGTGGGGTGGGGTGGATGAGGAGACCTGCACAGCATTGGCGGAGCGGGGTTAAGATTGGAGCTGGCACTGCACGGCACCCCCCCCCCAGGTTTCTGTTAGGGCTCATCGGGTCCAGTGCGGCTTGGTGGGGAGGTGATGGTAGGATCCAGTGTCGACCTTCCTGCACTTCTGATATGTGTGGCCCTCTCCCACATTCCTTGCCATTTTCTTGGTGATTTCTGGTTGCCAGCCGGGCAGGGGACACTGAGAAGGGTAGGGGAAAGTATCCAGTGTCACCGGCCACTCCAGGA